GGGGTGTCTTCGTATGGTGGTTGTTGTTGATGGTCTTCGTATGGTGGTTGTTGTTGATGGGGGGTGTCTGTTGGTATTTGTGGGTATGATGAAGAACCGCGTTCCCTTGGATCGGACAAATAGGTTGGCTGGGACAGGAAAGGTTGGGTTGTCGTGACAGAACTAAACCAAGTCATATATTGAAGACTTGGCCTAGCCCCGTGCACAATACTGTCGGTTAAGACGTATTGCCTTCTTCTTTTTCAAAGTACACGCAGCTCATTTGCAAACTCCTTCCAATCACCAATCATCCACTGTGCGTCTACCCGTTTTTGATGCCACTTCCCCAAGTCTACGGGAGCATCTGGAATATCTTGATGCATCCCGAATTGGAGTTTGACCCGATCACTTTGGTGCATCTCCACCGTAGTGAACCTAATTATAGGTGTCTTTGCTGTCCACACAGCGGCATCATCGGGGTTGGGCTGGTGGTCGAGACCCTCGTACGACATCCAAACAAACTACAATATAGTAGTAAAATTTAGTTAGACAGGATGTCTGAAGTTTATGCATATACATTAAAGAAAATTAGGGGAAATAGGTTACATCGTTTGGCCCAAGGTGGTCGATTAGGTTGCGGTATTGAATTATAGAGTGCCTTGGACATTTCTCATAATTCATCCCGGGTACAGACCACCTAAAAAAATAAACACAAGTTATAAATTATTAACTGAAATAGAATACGTAGATGGCAAATAATGTTGAAAAGATACTTACTTTTTTGCGTAGGGGAACGTAAAAGAATTTCTGTTTATTGGAGCAAGCAGTGGCATCCTCGACCAACCCCAAGCTTGCAAAAGATAGGCACAACCATAAAAAGTACAAGAATTTTTTTTGGACGTCTTACAAAGTGCGCTATATAGATGGGCGAGGACTGCTGATCCCCAGCTATATTCACACACTTTGTTGATATTACACAATAATGGTAAATACATGGTATGAATTGTATTTCCAGTGCCGTCTGGAAATAAAAAGTGGCCAAATAAAATCATAATATAGCACCGAGTTTTTTGTATTTTCTCATACTCGGTGCTCTCATCCGTTAAAACAATACCGTTGTATTGTTCTCTCAGGTATTTCAAGTTAATACCCTGACCCCTCGGGCGGCCCTTGCTTCCTGCCTGAGGTCCGTCCTCACAAAGAGGGGCGCCCAATAAATCTTCACAAAGTTGGTCAGGGACACCAACTTTGCCGTTGACGGCCTTACCATCAATGTGTAGGCCGAGCAACATATAAACATCCTGGAGAGTCACCGTACACTCACCACAAGGAAGGTGAAATGTATGTGTCTCCGGTCTCCAGCGTTCTAACAACGCTAGAATAAATTTTGTGTCAAGGGAATAAGATTTGATTTCGATCACACGCCCAAACCCACAATGTATAAGATAGTTTGTAATGAGGGGGTCGTGTGGTATGTAGTCATGCACACGGCACCGAAACCTTGATACATCCTGCAAAATAATGAAGTAAAATTACTATAGTGTTTTAGACAAAAGTACTATAGTTTTTTTTTGAACAAAATGGTAAGACATTGACATGAACTAAAGGACTTACAAACTCGGCGATGTTTTCAGCCGTCCCTCTATGAGAATCACCCATGGTTAGTACAGACATTGTCGAGGGTTGGGAGTTTGAAAGTTTAAGAGTTTCAGACTTTGGGAGGTTGCGAGTTTGAGAGTAGGAGAGTAAGAGAGTAGGAGACTTTAAGTGTGAGTAGAATTTGATGGGTACATACCCCATATTTATATTCCAAGGGTGGATATGTTTTAAGTGCATGCTTGAAACTTGTGATGAGATATGTGTTGTGTGAGTGCATGCTGAGCACTTGGCGTGACAAATGTGTTGTGTGGGTGCATGCTGACCACTTGGCGTGACATATGTGTTGTGTGGGTGCATGCTGACCACTTGGCGTGACAAATGTGTTGTGTGGGTGCATGCTGACCACTTGGCATGACAAATGTGTTGTGTGGGTGCATGATGACCACTTGGCATTTATTGCAATGCAGTGTCCAGTCTAATCTGTGAAAGCAGATGCTCGTAGGCCTGCATGGTCAATGTAGGGATGCAGTTCACATGTGAAAAAAGGAGATTCCTTCAGTGTAGCGTCTAATCATACAGTGGTTCATTCATTGCATAGTGTGATTATTTATTCAGCATTTTGTATAATATTTTTATTCATCGTAATGTGATTTATTTCATCAGTGTAGTATTATTTATTTCATCATACTATTTTATTTCATCATACTATTTTCCATATTATACTTCAGTGTAGTATTATTTATGTCATCATACTATTTTCCATAGTATACTTTATTCATATTATGGAGCATGCGTGTTAAATGAACATCACATGTAAATGCAGAACTTTGCATTGTCACTTCATATCAAGTCTGTGGTTCACGTTATTGATTATGGAGCATGCGCCATAAATGTAAGGCAGGCAGAGATTCCTGACTTGCACATCACATGTAAATGCAGAACTTTGCAGTGTCAATTCATATCAACTCAGTGGTTCACGTTATTGATTAAGGAGCATGCGTGGTAAATGAAAGGCAGAACTTTATTGATACATGCAAAAACACTAAGCTCATTTTATAAAGCCTTTATCAAACACACTCAAAGACTCAAACATTCAGAAGCACTAAGGTCATTATATAAAGCCTTTATCAAACACCCTCAAAGACTCAAACACACTAAAACACTAAAACACTCAAACACTAAAACGTTGTTACACCCCGTTATTCAGACACCATAATTTCCACAATGTCTCAAACACCACAACACATGATTGCCGCTCATATGAATGGTGAAGCTTTCGAATGTGAGGATTCGGGATACACTTTCAGAAACACGGAGGTTACAAGATTTTTAATTGACAGAAGGTCTAATTTTTTACACCTGAAGTCAAGAATCGAAAAAAAACTGCAGTGCGGTCCAGTTGGACAAATAGTATACAAAAACCCAGTATTCTTTGGCGGACTTGATTCGTGCAAATTTTTTCCTTTAAAGGTGCGAGATGATGAAGACGTGCGTAACATGTTCCGCACTCACGAGTATTCAGGGTTCTCAGAAATCATGGTATACGTTACGTTACAACAGCAACAACTGTCTCAGCAACTGGATTCATCACAAGTTTTTTGTGATTCTGAAGATGAACACCCCGAAGTCAATGTCGTGGACGAAGAAGAAGAAGCAACTGAGGTCATTGTTGACGAGATGGTGAACAATCCTGAGGTTGAAGTTCAACCTGAGCATGTCTATTGTCCACCAAATCACATGACTGACATAAATTAAACAAACATAACAACAAATTAAAAAGATACACCAAAACACCGGAACAGAGCGTCTACGATATCACGACCATCAACTTTATCTCCTTTGGTGTCAACATCATCACAAGGACGCCGACATCATTTTCCACTTTTCTCCATTCACGAGTAACTCCGTTTCTATCGGTCTTCTCCACCAACCTCTCAATTTTCCTAATCTTTTCTCCTGGAGCAATATCCCCTTCTAGCCAGCGGTTCAGTTCCCTGTGCAAGTGTTCCAACGTCTGCGTATTCCACAGGAGCACCTTCATCGGAGGCTTTGTTGCTGAAAACACCACAAGGGTATTTCTTTTCATTATATCAAACGTTGGAAAAGGTTCCTCCGATGCTGATGACGAAGAAGAAGAACGTTGATTCAGAAATGCAGACATTATGGACTACGCTCAACTCAAACCGCACTACCGCTTTAGTCTTTTAGGAAATAATGTTGTGAAAAAAACATGTGTTTGAGCTCGTATTTATAGCCAAAAAAAATTATAATTAAAAAACAATAAGTTAGTGCGCAAATACATCACAACAAGTAAAAATAAAATGCAAAAAAAAGTAAAAACATATTATACAAAAGGATTGATCCTCCTCAGGCTACCAAGGTGAAATGTGCATTTGATGACAAAGTGATTACCACTGGGGTGGCTATACATCCATTGATGAATGTCACCCCAAAAATATATAAGGAAAGTTTAAAACCCTAGCTGGGCGATTTAGCAAGCAACCTAATTTACTTTAAATTTATAATTTCATAAAATAATTTAAACTTTTATACTTAATTTTTTTAATATTATAGATGACATTAAAATTTATATTATAAATTAATATTAATATTAATTATATAAATATTAATTAGATTATAAATTTATATATTTTATAGTTAATAATAATAATAATTAAAATCAAAAAAGCATGAAAACGAAAACCCAGTATAACCAATTCGCCAATTGGTGTGGCGAATGGCCACAAAATATCAATGTCGCCAATTGGTTTGGCGAATGCCTTCAAGCCCATTTGGCCTAATTCGCCATTTGCTTTGACGAACGCATGTTGGTCCATTTACAAACATTGTCATTTTGATATTTATTTTGAAAGTATAATTTGTTTGGTAAATAACAATTATAACATTGCTATTTTAAAAAAAAATTCTCCAAATGCGTCTACTTTCTTCTTACGTAGTAATTAATTTAAAAATTATATTATATTAGGGTTTAAATTAAATAAATATGTTATTTAAAAAAAATCTCCGATTGTAGATCTAACAAAAAATCTGGGGTAGTCTGATTTATATTTGATCTCCACGGTTAGTTTATGCATAAACGAAATTAAAAACCACATAACTATAAACAAAACACTACATACTACAATATTTATACTTATATTTCATAAATAAATTACAGCTACAAATATGAACACCGATAAACATAACAAGTGTCTTCTCTTCTCCTGGCTAAGCAAGAAAAAAACTAGCTGTTATCCAAGGTAACAAGAGATTTTACAATAATATACTTAAGGTAGTAGCACTGCAATTGTCAAAAATTCCATTGCAGTAACGACTCTTCTAAGAAACTAAAATCTAGTTACATGCATGACATGAGAATTTTCACTAGAAAATAAAAAAATTACATATAAGGACACTGAACTTCACAGAGAATCCCAATCAATCTCATAAGAAGGGTACTTCAGCAAATTAAAATTTTCCGAATCACCTTCCCACCGTGGTTCACCAACATCACCAAAAGTAAGATCCGAAAGTGGCGAAGAACCTTCGGAGCCTTCACTCTCGGTCATCACCGGAGAAATCGAAGCTTCAACCTTACAACACGCTTCTGAACCTGAACCAGAATCAGAACCCTTCTTCAAATCATCAACAACAGACTTCTCCACCGTCTCCGGCGAAGGTACCACCTTGGATGCAGCCTTGGACCGAGCCGCTGGTGTCTTCTTAGGCTTCTCTGACTTCCCCTGTTTCTGCATCTCAGCTAAACCTTCACAAATAGCTTGAAGTTTAGCGTCAACAGAAGAAGGAAGAGGCTTATACTCACCAAACTCACCAACACCAATACATGAACCTTGGTGTTTGAGATTCGGAAAATTAAGCCTAGCAAAGTCACCACGAAGCTTATAAGCAGCTTTGTCATAAGCCAAAGCAGCTTCTTCCGCTGTATCAAAGGTACCAAGCCAAAGCCTGGTACGATTCTTAGGGAGTCTGATCTCAGCAACCCATTTTCCCCAGTGCCTTTGCCTCACCCCTCTATATAGCTTCGTGGGCTTTGTAGGAGTATTACCCACGTGCTTCATAGGGATTGGCTTTGGACTGAGGAAGCTAAGAGTGTTACTTAGATTCTTTTGTTGTTGATGTTGTTGCAAGGTAAAGTTTTGGTGTTGGATCTGTGCTTGGATCTGGTTGATTTGAGATGGGGTCAAATGGTTAAGTCCAAGAAGAGAAGAAGATGGTTGTTGAACAAAGCCTATGAAGTTCTGGCTATTCGATAACCCGTTTGTAAATCCATGGGTCATCGATGTTGTACAACCATCATTGTAGAAAGAAGGGAAAGAAGAGAAAGAAGGTTCAGAGAGAGAATAAGAAGAAGAAGAAGAAGAAGGTGATGGTGTTGAATTCGGGGAAGGACTTTTGATAAAAGGTTCAAGAACTTCCATTAATTCACCTCTGAACAGATCTGAGTATTGATCTAAGTGAAGTTGTGTGTTATTGTATAAATCCATCATAGCTGCCATATTTCCTGCGAAAATTTATACCCGAAAAATCTTTCTAAAATTGAAGATCAGGTTAATTAAAGAAAAAAAATTAACAAGGGATAAAGAAGGGATTTTAAATAGACAATCCTTTCAAACCTTGAAATAAGAAAAAACAAAAGAGCCTTAAAGGGATCAAAAACAACCCTCTTGAGGCTAATTTCAAAAGAAAATTTACAAGTAAAATAAAAGCTGGATCTCGATTCTGAAAACACCTGGCTTTCGAAAAATTCTTCTAAGTTTGTTACTTTTTGATTGATTAAAAGACAAACCCAAAAATCATAAATTGAAAGACAGATAATTAACAGAAAGGGATTCACAGAAACGGGATATTACAGAAGGGGAATAACAAAAAAGATTAGAGAAAATCAAAATCAAAATCAAGCACACAACACAAATCTAAAAGCTCTTGAAAGTATGAGATTTCCTTTTGTTTTGTTTACCTCTCGCCACTCTGATTTTGTCTGCAAGACTCTCACTCCATTATATAGCAACCTTTGTTTCAACTATTATCAATTGATTGAGGTAATAGCCAATTACATAACGACGCGTGTCCTTTGGGGTTTTTTACTCGACACGTGTCGGTTTCAGTATTTACAGGTGTCGGTGAGATTAGTGCGGTTGTTTTCTCTAATTTTGTCGTTAATCATGTTGACATTATTTGTACGCGTTTATTCCAATAGTATTTTTTTTTTAATTTTGAATTTGTTTACAAAATCATGATGCGCAATGTGCACCTTTCTTTTTCTACTTTATATATCGCGTCCATTGTACGCATCTATGATTCAAATTTAAGTGGCTTAGAAGTTTCAACTTGTAGATAATAAATTATTATGAAATGAAAGTCTACATCAGTTGAACTAACAAGCAACAAATAATTCAGTTTTTTAAAAAAAGTGAGAATTGAAATTAGAAATCGTGAATGGAAAGATAATGTAAATTTATGAGGAGGACGTAAGTGTCCCGAATGAGAAGCGGGCAGCCGTTTTATCTTTTGTTTGTGGCTCAAAGAGTTAGTGACACTCTTTAATCAAAGTCTTTGTTTATTTATTTTTTTATTTTATATTCAACTCAACTCGAGCACTATAGTTTTGATTTGAGTTTTTAAATTCAAATAGGCTGGATTGATGCAAAAGAAATAATTAAACTAGACTGGGAAAATTCTCTCTTGTAATTGTAATAATTAGTTAATATCGATAAGTCATTCAATAACTAATGTATTAATTAGTTTATAGACTAAATATATTAATTATTTAATAAATTTAAAAAGTGATTTGTCTCTCATAAAAAACAGAAGTAGTAATTAAAAATTATTAGGTCATAAGAATATATAAAGTGGCAAAACATATTGATCAGAAGGACATCCTTGTTTTGATGTGGTACGAGTCAAGTTTTATCTTTTACTATTTACTTTTTTCAATTCTAATTATAAGTCACTGAAAAAAATTGTTTTAAATTATAAATCATCTTACATTTATAATGAAATATTGATAACATTTTTTTAATATATCATCGATTATTTATTATTATTTATTTTTTTAATTTTTTTAATTTTTCTATTTTATATAATTATGAGGAGTATTACTGTAAAATTATATATAATTTATCATTTTTATAAAATAATAATTAAATTTTTTAATTAGTGTGAAATGCCAAAAACATCTTATAATTTAGGATGGAGGAGTAATATTTTTATCTCCTTTGCTTTATTTTATTTTTTTGTAAATTTTTGTAAACACGAACATTTATATAATTTTAATATATGTATATGTTTTTAATTTTATTTTTAAATAGTTCAGAGTCTTTGGATTCGTTCCGCCCGCGGCTTGCACTTTAGTGTGAAATGGAATAAAATTTTAGCCTTAAACTCTCAATTATGTCTATTTCATTCCTTTTCTTTTTGGAGCTTAAATCCACGGGTTTGCCAACCTAATATCATGAAAGTAGTTTATGAGTGGTATTCTCGAAAAATAATTTATCAATTTAATTTTCTAGATCATCATTATATCTTTAATTTAGAATATAAATTAATTGAAAAACTATCTATTGTTTAAAAAAATAGATTTATATAATTTAGAAATTAAATTAAAATGAATAAAAATTTAAAATTAAATTGATAATAATTTAATATAAATGAACAAAGAATCTAAAGAAGAAATAAAAAAACAAATTATTGCCATGTGGTCCAAGAGAATCAGCATTACTTATTCTACATACCATTTCCAAGTAATTTATCTTCCCAGCAGCACAATACCACATGATACTATCGAATATCAATACTTAGAAGAAAAAAAAACTCATGTATTGTACTTTAGAAGTTGTTTTGAGTAAAACAAAATATTAATACATAAGGCATTAAAGTAGAGAAATTGGTTGATCTAAAGTCTAAGAAAATAAAATTATTGTAAAGGTATGATGTCATGATTACTAAAAAGGAGAAACAAAAATCTTGTTTATCAAAGTATTGATCGGAAGAGATTAAACTATAACAACTATTTTTGGTATCATTTTTGAAGGGCAATTCAGTATTTAATAATGTTGGTTACGTGGCATATTTGTTTGTGTATATATACTAGTGTATTTGTCAATAGTCGTACACACACACTGAGCAACAAGTAGTGCGTATAATCAGTGTACTGGAGTAACCATTTTGTAAACGTTTTGTAAGAGTAGTTGAAGTTTGTTATTCTTTTCTCTTACTTCTTCCATCTTCATTTTCTTCACCTTGTGCACTAATGATCAGTGCATATTTATGCACATTATTGGTATCTAGAGTTTCGGTTCAGATCCACAAGAAAACACGAGTGAACGGTGAGGTGTTGTGTAATTGATTTTGTTTCTTGAATTCGTGTTGAATTTTTTATAGGAATCGTAACAGAATCACATTTCTTGATTATGCGGGATTGGAAAACACTAATGTTTGGTGAGATCTGACTGATTGTACAAGGTTGATGATGAACAAAAACGGTAATCTGAGTACCAAGATTCCAGTGTTTGATGGCAAGAACTAGAATCGATGGATGATTTGGATGCGTGTGTTATTTGGCACTCAAGATGTTCTTGATCTTGTCAACGACGCTTACGCTCCAATTGCGGAAAATGCAACAGAAGCACAAAGAAACATGCAAAGAGAAACGAGGAAGAATGATCAGAAGGTGTTGTTCTACATCCTCAGTTTGATTACATTATAGTAGCAATTGAACATTCTAAGAATATTAGCACCATGAGAATTGAAGAGTTGTAAAACATTCTAGAGTCACAAGAAATGTGTCTGACTGAGAAACTCTAAAATGGAGGTAAAGTAGCAAGCTCTGAAAGCAGCTTATGGTAAGAAATATCAGAAGCGGTCTTGGTCAAAAGCCCGAAAGAAATATGATGGTGTTCAGAAGTCAGAGACCTCAACTTCTAGAAGGCAGAAGAGTGCTCAAAAGGGGAAGGTGAAGTATGACAAGAAGAAGTTTTAGTGCTACTGTTGTAAGAAGTTTGGCCACTTCGTTGTTGATTGTTGGTTAAACAAGGAAAGAAAGTCATAAGAAGCAAATATAGCCATAAGAGATTTTGGTGATGAATATGTGCTATTGGTTTTGCATACTTGGAGGGCATAAACACTTTGTGTCATTTGTGGATGAGTTCACAAGGATGACGTGGGTATCCCTTATAAAGTTCAAACACAAAGGGTTTGCTGATGTCGACTAAGTGAGTCTATCAGATTAACTGCAGGTGCACAGTTGTATTGTGTAGTTTTAAAAGATATCGTACCCACATAGGTCAATTATCAAATATATCGCTATCTATTGTTGCTATGTAAATTTAAGGCTACTGAGGTTTTAATTAGGGGGAAACTAAAACTATAATCAAAATTAAAATAAAGTCTAGAAAATATATAGAAAGGAGAGACCATAATGTGGATCCCAACGCACCTTAGTGACTCAATAATTCATTAGCGTATGTTAAGTGTTAAATTATTTCTCCAAACAAAATATTAGTTTAAAAACTTTTATCTCACATTGTTGTGTTGTTGACTCTAGTTATACTCCTATACCATAAATGTTTTGTTGTCGCTCACCCATTTGAATCAAGAAATACTTTTTGAAAACTGATAAGTCCTAATTAATCCTAAAGCGTTGTCGTTGTGTTTAAGATCAATGTCTGATCTTTACTATCCAATTTGAACCTCAAATTGTCGTACTATTGACTTAAAACCTTAATGTTTTCACTATCGTGCAAAACCTTTTTAAAACTTAAATTAAAAATCAAATCCAGAAAACAATTTATAGAAAATTACGCCAAATCATTACCGAGTCCCGGCGTAACGATGGTCCTCACAAACCGGACTCAAAGGGATTTAGCCGAACATGGTTTTAGACATAAACAAATAATACATGATTATTGAAATTAAAAGCAACATGGAAATTGAATTAAAATGCAACAAATAGAAATAAAAATCAATAATATAAAGAACCTAAAAAATTGGAATTAATGCGGAAATAACTTCAAGTACAATGAACTAAACGGAAAATAACTTCAAATATCGGCACGATTAATTTCATCCAACCTTAGAATAAAAATCCTAAAAACTATGGTGCGATAGTCCCTCAATGTGAGAGCTCTATCACTTTGAAATGTAATATCTGCTTAAAACTAAGAATGAAACTTGTGCATACAAACTTGGATGGGAAAATCCTATGAAAATTGTCAATATATAGTGAGATGTTACTGGAAAATGTCCTTAGGTCGTGTGGAATTCGTGGAGAAGAAGTAGAGAAGTCGGTGAAAACTCAGCCAAGTTGGTTTCCTGAATTTTCTACATTACGCGTCCATTGTGAACGCCATGGCCTTAAATTGTGGAATACGTGTCTGTGAGGTGCATGGTGGACGCCGTACACCAGAAAATGATGTTTTTTGCACTTTTTCTTCATTTCTTGATCTTTTTCTCGGTTTCTTGCATAGATGTTTCCCTTTGACAAATACATGAAACAATT